TCCACCAAATGGGTGAATAAGCAAAAGCTAACCAAAACATGCAAGATTGCTCTCTCAAGCTCAAGACCATCTGCCTCATCATCAAATCCTGGTAAGCGATACATCATCAGCTTTGTCTATTTTCTCAAGACTCTTGGGGGTATGCTATATCAGTGTAACCCTATCTAGCCAACTCTTTGAGGTATGCTATATCAGTGTAACCCTATCTAGCCAACTCTTAGGGGTATGTTATATCAGCGTAACCCTATCTAACCAACCATTGGTCAAATTTTGGGGTCTTCCATTATTTAATAAATATCCAATTCGAATGAATAAGACCTATGAATTCTCGTGCCATTCAATCGAAGAGTTATTAAATAGGGGCAGTTGTCATACCCCAAATTTATCTGTCTTAGTGCTACCGTCAAATTTATTTTCGAACTTGGGTTTTACTGAGTATAAAACTCCTTTGGTTTAATTATATTAACATTATGGAGTTTTAATAAATATTCGCTTCGATGCCTATTTAAAAATATAATGATCTATATCAGATCATTTGTATTTTTGAATAAATAAATATTTACTCGTCTTCATGTACTTTCAATTGACTTTTTATTTTGAATGAGTAACATAGCACAATTGGTAAGGAAAGAAGCTTGCAAATATAAGGTCACGAGTTCAAATCTCTCTTTGTGCACTTTCGATATTTTTGTTGTTACTAACTTTATTTTCATTTTCTAAACCACAAAAATCATATTTTTTATTATTAAATTATTATTTTCGTATTTATTGATTTATTTATTATATTTTAAAAATATTATTTTTTATTAAAATATTAATTTTATTTATAAAATAGTCAAAATACCTTATAAATAAATAAAATCTTTCCAGATCAATTTTGCTCTATATCAAATTTTGCACCTGGACGCAAATATGTCCAAATTCTTAATCTTGCTGGTCAAGATGAGAATTTGCGCCTTGGGTGTTGGATACTTCATTTTTTGGATTTTAACCTAATTTTTTTCACTTATAAATAACCCTCAAAACTTATCAACAAGACATCCAAAAATATTCACAATTTCCACAGTACCAATAATTCATCCAGAAATATCAACAATCATTCACAAACATACAAAATTCTAGAGTTGTTGACTATATCAGACAACAACCTAAGAACAATCTCCCCAGCAACATGATTCACACAGTTCCACGAATTTCATTCACACTTTAGTTTTTTTCTTTTAACAAATTTCTTGTTTACTATTGGTGTTTTTGGCTGATGACTAACAAATTAATCGTTAGACAAACATATGTGTCTGAATTAATTTAACATGAGGCCACCTCCCTATTTTATTTATTTTTCTGCCGAATAATTCATCTTCTATGATGTATTTATTTTCTTTCTTTCTTTAAAAATTTATATTTCATATACTAGTTTTTCTCATTCATTAACTACTAACATTTAAGTACACAGTCGCATTTTAGCCATTTTCCATAACTAACGCCAGAAACGAATCCTATTTTTTTTCATTACATTTTTGTTTCACATTTTTTTAAGAATACAATTTACTGTATATATTCACGATACACTCAACCTTCAAAATTTTGCTACAAATCCTCACTATTCAACACACTACCAATTAAACGATCATCATTTTTTTATGTTCATTAGATTGAAATTTTGAGGGAGAAATAAGAAAGATGAATAGTAGGGAGACTTGTGTGGGTATCGTGAAAAGAGGAAATATATGTGTATGTTTTATCTTCTTTCATATTTACTGATATATTGGACCATGGTTTTATTTATTTATTAATTTTTATTGCCGCCACTTGTCACATTATGATTGGTTATAAAGTTAAATTGAAAAGGTACTTGAACATTAGAAGCTACCCTCACGTTACAGTATTCTCTTGTTATTATCTATATATATTTTCTTTACTTTTATACTATCATTTTGTTTAGTATATAAATAAATATAGAAATTAATTAGGGTTAATTTTTAGAAGTAGGTTAGTGATTTACATGTGGCTTGGGTCATTCTTCCATTCACACCCTACTTTTTCTAGTTAACACCACTCTTAAATTTTATTTAATTTTAATTAATTAATTATTTACTTAGATAATTAATCATGTTGATTAGTAACTTTATTTTAGTGATTAAGTTAGATTTTTAATTAGGTTAATTACGCTGCAAGGTTGTATATATTATTAAACTTTCATGATAAAAATCATTTGTTACCAAAATAACAAATTTGTGCATCAATTCAAATATTTTTCTAATCAAATTAAGTAATTTATATATATTTATTTTAATTTCTTGATTAATTTAATGTCCTTATCATAATTTGGAAATAATTCTCAAACATGTACATATTTTTAAATATTTATTTTTTTAAAATTAAATTAGTTTAATATTTTACAAAGATATTAAAACTTAGGCCCCTCACTAAATATTTCATCTACGAGCGACACGTGACCAATATCTGGCCACATAGTGAGGAAGGCTATATCAGACTTCCTCCGCATCCTTCATGACGAACAAAACGTGGTCAATATCTGGCCACATGACGAGAACACGTGAGGAGGAGACTATATCAGACTCCCCCGCTTCATGTCTTAATCAAATCAAATACCAAAACAGCTAACCTAACAAAAAAACTCAAGATTATTTTTCAAAAAAAGATTAAATAGCATTGTCTTTGAATCAAATGTGAAACTGCGTCTAGGATCACTCAATTTACAATCCAGACAAGGTTCAAGATTAATTCGAAAATAATTCTACGCAATCTTATAAAAAATACCAACCAAACTACGAACTACGAATTGAGACTCTGATTCCTCATAAGAGGATACGTAGGCATACGATCAAAATCGTAGTGAGTTCTCCTATAAAAAATTAAAACACTTTTCCTCATAGTTAAAACTTAAAACCCTATTTTACCCAAACCTAAACCTAAAACCTAATATCCTTGTGAACAAGGTAGATGAAAGGTGCATAACACCTTCCTTTCGTCTAAAGAAGTCTGAAACCTAGAATCTTTGTCTCTGAATTAGGGTTTTCTGTTAGATTCTCTTCCCTAGGATAAAAACTAATAGTGGCGACTCTGATTAAAAAACCAGTCGCAACACTTGGTGTAGCATTTTGATCTCTAAAGATGTTGTTCTGAATGGTTATAGATGGCGTATTAGAATGGAGAAAAGGTTTGTATAGGGGGTGATAAGTGGATTCCAACTCTTTCGAGTTTCCAAATATCGGTTCTGGATAGGGTCTTAACCCCTCTCTCTAAGCCTAGTTCCCTCGTTGATTTCGATCTGGCCTGTTGGAATATGGACACCCTTAGAGAAAACGTTAATGTTATTGATGCTAACCATATCAACAACATCCCTCTCTCCTTTGACCTTCCCGAGGATAAATTAATTTGGCACCACGAAATAGACGGTAATTATTTGATTAAGACGGCTTATCATTGGCTGGGGGATCAAAGGTGCAAGTTCAATCCAGGGCCCTCTTCCAAAGGAAAACCAAAAATTTGGAATCAATTGTGGAGATTAAATGTGAATCCTAGAGTCAATAATTTTATGTGGAAACTCTTTAAATATATTCTGCCTATGAAAACCAAACTCCTCAGGAAAGGCACGCAGAATGATCATTTATGCCGTTTTTGCAATTCTGAATTGGAAAATATTCCGCATCTCTTTCTTCGCTGTGGTTTTATAAGGAAGGTTTTTTTCTCGAGCCTGTTGGGAATTTGCGTTCCCACTTCTGGAGGTATTGAGGACTGGTTTTGTAGTATTTTCTCAAGGAAAGACACTAAGTTGGAGCAAGTAATAGCGGTTAGTTTCTGGAAAATTTGGAAGTTGAGGAATCGTGTTGTTTTCAAGGCTATTAAAGCAGATCTAAGCGCGGTCGTAGTTGAAGATCTCTTATTTCTAGTTTTTGTAATGTTTCTCTCATTTTTATTAGTAGGGATCTAAATATTGATGCTCACAATTTGGTCGGTATTGGTAAGTCCTTAGGATCTAGAACTTAGACGAGCCATATTTTAAGCTCTGACATTGCTAGTTGTTCTTCTGCTGTCCCTTTTTCTTAAGGAATCTGGTTTGCCATAAAAAAAACAATGAAAGTTGAAGAGGTGATGATTTCATAATCAAATATTTGAGATTTCTTTCTTCTAAAGTTATTTTATTGTTGACATATTTTTGTAGAGAATAAATAACTTCAATATCTTATTCTTCTTCTGGATTTTTAGATATCTCAATTTATATTTTTGCAATTTTCTCTCATTTTAATTTTTGACTCAAATATTTTTTGAGATTTGACTTTGAAAGCAAGTCGAGAGGATTTAATTTAGTTATCAATAGTTTTTCTACTATTCCCGTACTTTTTCTCAGCCTGAGACCATTCATAGCTAAAATTTTGAATTTCTTTTTGAAGTTGAGATGATCATGTAAGAATTTGTTTAGGTTGGTGTTGGTGTTGGTAATTGTTGTGCTAATTTTGATAAACATAATGTTTAGGTTATAAGAATATGCTTATAGGTGATAGAGGTGGTATGAGTGTGAAAATGGGAGGAAAGATGAGTAAATGTGGAGTTAAATGGAGGAATATAGATAGGATTTGTTATGAAAATTGTTGAAGTTCAAGTATGAAAATACCTATTAATAGGAATCGAAAGTGTCAAACTATTATGTGGTAAAATTCTACACTAGAGAAAAACATAAAACTAGAAAATAAAATAAAAAAATATTTTGAATACTTTTAAATATGTCAAAGACGCTAAATATATAGCAATGATAACGAATAATAAATTAAAAGACACAAACACTAAAAAAGTCCCACTAAATAATATCATAATTTATTCTCGTGCGTTGCATGTGTAAAGACATTAGGATAATTCTACACAACTCAATTTATTTTACATATTTTATTCAATGGTTATAATACATCATAACTGGATTATCATTTGGATAAACTTATAGCATACAATTTTCTTTTAACACATGTCATGTTCTTATTTATTCAATCATTATACTTGGTAGCACTTGGCCTAGGTTCAAACTCATCATTCACGGATGATTTCATATTTTTATGACCCTCATCACCATCATACTTTGTAGCACTTGGTCTTGGTTCAAACTCACCATTCACGGGTAGTTTCATATTTTTATAACCCTCATCACCATCATACTTTGTAGCAGGCTGTCTTGGTTCAAACTCATCATTCACAGGTAATTTCACACTTTTATAACCCTCATCACCATCATACTTTGTAGCACTTGGTCTTGGTTCAAACTCATCATTCACAGGTAATTTCACACTTTTATAACCATCATCTTCGCCATATATTAGAAGACTTGGTATGGGTTCAAACTCATCGTTCACTGGTAATTTCATACTCTTATATCCCTCACCATCATCATATTTTGTAACACTTGGTATGGACTCAAACTCATTGTTCACCGGTAGTTTCATAGTTTTATAACTCTCATCACCATCATATTTTGTGAGACTTGGTATGGGCTCAAACTCACCGTTCACTGGTAGTTTCATAGTTTTATAACTCTCATCACCGTCATATTTTGTGAGACTTGGTATGGGCTCAAACTCACCGTTCACCGGTAGTTTCATATTTTTATAACCCCCATCACCATCATATTTTGTAGCACTTGGTCTGGGTTCAAATTCTTCAGTGACCACTTTTTTTTCTTTGAAATTTAGTATTTTTGGTATGGGATGCTGATCACACTTACCTTTGGCATGTTGTTCTTGCGCCTTGGAGTTTGTTAAGGGTGCGATCTCAGATTTGAGTTGAAGAAGCCCCTGAATTCCTTCTGGCATCTCTTCATCTTTCATAACATTTTTCCAATATTCTTTTAGATCTTTTCTTGATTCTGTAGTAGCCACAAACTTCTCCAAATTACAATGAAAATAGCAAAAATAAAATAATGGTCAGTATACTACATAATAAATTATAATGTAATTTATTTGTATATTTTTCCGTAATAAATTGTAAGTAAATTTTATTTTTTTTAATAAATTTGACAATTAATATATATAATTTATATATAAACTAAATATATTAATGATAAAATATATTTAAAAAAATTAAATTTACTTATAATTTATTACAGAGAATACTATTTATTTGTTGGTACTATTTCGATGTTACAAGTCTTTAAATTTGATAGATCAAAATATAGTTTGATTTGAGTAAAAAGAAAAATTGTTTGATATTATGAATCAATAAAGAATTTGACCAGTGGTCTAATACTTGAAATAAAATGCTAAAAAAAAAGTAATAAAACAAGTGTAAATATAATAGTAAAAAGTAATAGGGAAACACACCAAGAAAAGGATGAGAAAAGGAAGCAGAGCAAGAGCATGCCTCATATTCAAAGTAAAATGAATCTGATTTCTCTTCTTTTATGTCTCTATTGATTTATGAGATGATGTTCCATTATTCATTACTCCATATTTATAGACTCTGTAACAGACCAAATGTATATTTTATACAAATAAAAAAGTAATCTCTTGTTAGACTAGAAAATAAAAAATTTGATCTCTTAGAGTTTGGAGCGCGTGTGTGAGAGTGTATATTTTATTGAAATCTTTGAAGCTCTCATTGTTTTGTTGGTTTGTGAGTTTTCAAACGTTTCTAAAGCATATTAAGATCCAATCTTTACTGGTTTGAATTCAATGTGTGTTTCGTTTTATATATTTTTTAGTGAATATTTATTTAGTCTCTTATAAAAACTACATTAAAATTAAAATTTTTAAAAAAGTAAGATCTTATTTAATTTGTTACAAAATTTAAATATTTTAATAATTAATTAATTAATTAATATTTAATTCAAAACAAATAAGTAAATAAATAAATATTTAATAATATATAAATTATATGAATTATTTGTCATCAATGTTGATCTTTTGGTATGATAATCCTGGATAACTTCGAAAAATCGTGTTCGTACACTTTTCGAACAAAGTATTTCGACCCTATTCTTGTCTGGGTTCACGAAATCTTTGTGGGGATAATTCTAGAAGAACAATATGTTTCTGGCAAAAGAAACTGATTACAAATGTAGAGAGAAAATGTCGTTTTTCGTATTTGAAACCGAGGCCAAATGACTCCTTATATAAGAGATCAATAACTGAAACCGAAAAGACACACCTGTTCGGAAAAACGGTTATGTCAGTTGGGGGAAAAAGATTCAAAATTTTCGAACAGGACGCTGTCCCGCACCCCGTCCGCTGACCTGGCAGCGGGACCCCAGTCAGGGGCTCCGCCCCTTAGACCCCAACGGGGCGCTGCCCCGCACCCCGCCAGGGGCTTCGCCCCTTGGAACTCCAACGGGGCGCTGCCCCGTACCTTTGGAACCCCCGTTTCAATTATTCATATTCAATTATACATTGGCTCGACGAGCGTGCACTCTGCACTTCCCCTAACTCGTTTCCAAGCTTAACGATAATTGCATCGGCCTTTAGTAAATCACATTACTACTAAAATACATTGGTGATACTAAAATCACCGACAATCAATATATATTATTTTAGTGATAAAGTCTTAAGATTATTGCTTAAAGTTTTTTGAGTTCGACTTCAATTAAATTGAATTTTATAATTTTTGTGAAAAACCAATGTGATCTTCACAATTTTTTCATTTATTTGAATATTTTTAATACAATTTTGCTATTATTTGTTTAATTAAAATATAAAATAAAATAAAAAAGATACCCAAAAAATTGTGAACACCTTAGTTAAGACCATAAAAGAAAGATTGGTCATTAAAAAAATGCTTACTAGTATGAGAAAGAAGTTATGAAAATAAAAAAGACAAGATTTAAATCTCAATCATTTATTACTATTATTATTCATGATTCATATTAAAAAAGAAATTAAATTTAAAATAAATTTAAAACTATCTTCTAAAATTAAAACAAATATATATATTTTTATCTTTTTTATTCAAATAATTTTTATTATATAACATTACTCTTAAAAAAAATTATAAAAAAATTCATGTTTTAAATTTTGGATTGATGCAAAAGTTATAACATCTTATTTTATAAATATGAATGATAATATTAATAACTCATTTTTTAATTAGTAAGTAAGCCTCTTCTCAAACATAATCACATAATTATTCTTACTAATTCTTTAATACGATCGGTAATCTTGGCCAAATCAAATTTGATTTTTTTTAGATCTTCTTGAAATTTTGGTCTTATACTTAGACCAAATTGCCTATTCCAACAATTTGTAATTGAATTGGTTTGTCAGGCAGATTTGATCTGGATTTTAAAATCTAATTGCCACAAAAGTATCTTATGTCAGAAATCAATAATTACAAATAAGAAGAAAATCACATTTTTTTCTACTATAAATATATTTCAACTATTAATTAGAGGTGTAAGCGGATGAGAAAAATTAAATAAATTAATAGTTTAAATCAAATCAAATTGAAAAAATAATAATTTTTGGTTCTGTTAAAAAACCAAACCAACCCGATGAAAAGTAAGGTTGTTTGGTTTGGTTTCCGATGAAAAATAAGATGGTTTAGTTTGATTTTCAATTTTAGTTTTTAATAATCACTAGACTTGAACTGATGATTATACTTATCGATTTGATCTTTTATTTAGCCTATTATTAAGTGTAAATTTTACATCACTCTAATCATTATCCTTCAAATACCTAAAAAAAAAAAAAAAAACACAATCGTTAAAGAAATCCACCTTAAAAATCAAATACTCTATCTTCTTTCTTTTAGAGACTAAGAGGGTGTGACTTCTTAAACAATGTTGTAATATGATTGCTGTTATATTACTTTGCATTCATTGTGCTAGTGTAGCTCTTATTTAATATATTAATATATTTTTTGTTTTTTTAAAAAGAAAGAAATGTTGTTTGATTATTTGTTTTTTTAAAGAAGAAAGAAATGTTGTTCGATTATTTTTCCAATTTCACTGTAAAACATATTATTTTATTGGGCTATCTCTCTTATTTATAGTGGTCTAAATAAATGTGAGTCAGTGTTCATGTGTGTGTAAGCCTTTGTTATTATTTAACAAAGAGGATTAGGTCAATTATTCATTGTGTGAAAAACAATAAAAGAAAAGTAGAGAGAAGAGTGAAATCCTGCAGGCTCATTTCAGTACAGAGTAGTTCCACAAAATTGGAGTTTGCGTACAATCTAACAGTCCGATCGTCCTGAAATTTTATCACAAGTGTTCTTGAGTCATAGGAGCACATTCTGAAAAGAAATGTTGTTTGATTATTTTTCCAATTTCAGTGCAAAACATATTATTTTTGTTGGGTTATCCCTCTTATTTGGAGTGGCACAAATAAATGTGGGTTAGTGTCCATAGGTGTGTAAGCTTTTGTTATTATCCAACAAAGAGGATTCGGTCAATTATTCATCGTGTGAGAAACAACAAAAGAAAAGTAGAGAGAAGAGTGAAATCTCACAATCCTATTTCAGTGCACAACAGTTCCACAAAATCAGAGCTTGCGCATAATCCAACAGTTTGATCGTCTTGAAATTTTGTCACTGTGTGCATGACTCATATGAGCACATTCTAAACGGTGGAGATTGGATTATGAGCTTTCTAATTATGTTTTTCGAGTCCATCTTTGAGGTGAATTTTTTTTGCTGTTTTTGGTTGTTTTTTTTCACTTGAATCTTGTTGTATTCCAAGATTGATTGTAGATCTCGATGATGTTTATGCATGTCTCTAACTAGTGTTAGAGAGGAATTTGTTTGTACCCATTTTTTATTATAGTGGAGATATTAAGTAGTCTACGGATCTCATAGTTTTTTACTCCTAGTTAATAGAGATTTTTCTACGCTAAAGTTGTATTGTGTTGTTGGTGTGTTTTTGTTGATTGTCTCTCAATTGCATTTGATATTTGGGAGAGATTGTGTTGTTGGATTATTTGATTGCATTGTGGATTTCCTCCCAACAAGTGGTATACATAATCGTGGTTTGATTTGTGTGATGATGGAGAAAAACACATCTAGGATGACGAGTTTGAATGGTTTCAACTATAAT